CATGGCCAGCCTTTACAAAAAGCCCCAGACTCTTTAATTACCCCAAATGTCTACAGGCAATATGGGAAACCGACTGAGGGACCTACACAGCGGCTCCCAATAGGCTGCTTTGCAAGGAAAAAGGAAAACTGAAGACAGTTCCTGACTTTGGGTCCTAACAGAGAAACATCCCACATTTCTGGGGACAGGTGGCTCTTCTGTGCCTTTACTTTCTCCACACTTTGACCTGGAGAGTGCTTGTGCTTTGTGTGTTTCCCCACCAATTCAAGTCTCCTACTCTTCTGTTGTGTTTGCCTTTATTTATTCCCATAGCAACACTGTAAACAAAAAGGAGCTATCTAGATACCATTAGGGGTTATCATTTTTTTGTTTGTTTTTGAGATGTCACCTTTGGCCCTGAAAGTGTAGGTATTACATGTATTTAAAGCAGGCTTTCAGGACGAGAAGAGCGGTAACTTCCTTTTCATTCAGAGGCAGTTGGGTTGAGAGGAGCTGTACTCAACGGCTCTACTTCAGGATGGAACTTGCCCAACCTCATGCACAAGTGGAGCTGACTTTGATGATATTCCACTTTTTGATCTCACTTTGATAAGTGATAAGTGATAAGAATTTTGGGGTTATGGTCCAGTGAGAGGAGGGATCAGTGTGTGTGCTGGATAGTTTTATGTTAACTAGACGTAAGCTAAAGTTATCTGAGAGGAGGGAACCTCGATTAAGAAAATGCCTCCATAAAATTGGGTTATAGGAAAGCCTGTAGGGAATTTTCTTAGTGATTGATGGTGTTGATAGTGGTGGGGTGGTGTTGACCCTGGGCTGGTGGTCCTGGGTTCTATATAGGAAAGCAGGCTGAGCAAGCCATGAGGAGCAAGCCAATAAGCAGCTTCTGCTTCAGTTGCTGCCTCCAGGTTCCCACCTTGTTTGAGTTCCTGTCCTGACTTCCTTCAGTGATAGCCTACAACATGGGAATGTAAGCCAAACAAATTCTTTCCTCCCCAACTTTCCGTAGTCATAGAATTTCACCACAGCAATAGCAACTCTAACTAAGACAGTGGGTAAAAGCATCTGCCACACAAAGTTGGCAACCTGAGTGCGATTCTTAGAACCCATGGTAGAATGAGAATTTCGCCACCTGAAAGTTGTTCTCTGGCCTCTACATGTGTGCTGTGGCATGCATGCATCCATACTAGCATATAAATATCATACACACACCCCAATGCACACACACACACACACACAAATACATATACTAAACAAATACGTTAATAAACAGAATTTCTGAGGCCTTGGGAGAGAGTGTGAATTTTTTTACATGAGTGCAGTGTAAATCACTAGTGTCCAGACAATGAAGTATTGGAGCCAATGTTCTAGCGTGGCCTGATGATCCTCATATATTGTTTATGTCCTTGTATAGTCTTGACTGAGCAGGGCTGGTCTCTGGAACTGTTGAATCTTATAGAAATGATGGGACAAGACTTTAAAAGCCAGGAAGTGCAGCTTCCGCTTGCTCCTCTCACATCATTGGCTCTATCGGGCAGTCCTATGGAATCATCTGTTTGCCAACCACATGAGTGAGTCATCTTGTGAACAGCCGCAAAACCAGGAGAGCCTTTAGATGACTGCAGACTGGGCTGACTTCTCACTTATAGCTGGATGAGGGGTCCTCCATGTCAGAACCACCTAGTCCAGGCTATCCCACATTCCAGACTCTGCAAAATTACCAGAAGCCACTGTCTTAGGATCTTTTATTTTGCAGCATTGTATAACTATGAGAAGTCCTGCAATCAACCGATACAAACTGGAGAACTTTTGTAGCTCTTTCTGGCATTTTTATCCTAGTGTCTTAGTAAGTATCACTTTCCTGATGATCAATCAGAGGTGGAGAGGGGGCTTCAGAGAGTATGAAAATCTCAAGATGACTTTTTCTGTAGTGTTTTCCTTCCTTCCTCCCCATACAAACACTGTAAATGAGAAGGAGCTACTTAGATATATTAGAGCGTATCATTATTAATTATTATTATTATTAATTATTATTATTATTTTGGTTTGTTTTGAGAAGTTACCGCTGGCACTGAAGGTGTATGGATCATCATCGTGTATGTTTAAAGCAGGCTCATTTCGACAGGAAGTCTTTTCTAGCGATTGGGCTATGGCATATTTGAGAGATTGGGGGTTTGGTCACCGTTCTTCTTGTGGAGAGAATTGCCCGCCGTTGTAATGGGTTGCAGATCTGTATGCCACTCACTGCATGGATAAGAAACATGGGGCCAGAAAGCATAACTAATCTTTCTAAAGCCAGTCCTGGCTCCCAATTAGATGAGGTTGATTTCCATTTGTGCTTTGTTGTTATTATTGTTTTATTTTTGCACCCCCCCCCCCCCGCCCCACTCCTTTTTTGGTAGTTTCAAGTGAAAATAATTCCATCCAGTGAAGGCTAAATGCTTTCTTTTTATTATGCTGAGCTGGGTGTGGCTGCTTGATGTTGGAACAGACATGAAAATTTTATTTTATAATTTTGTATATCCCCTGAGGCAATGCTCTGCCTGGATCCTTTGAAACTGCAGGAAATAAATTACCAGTGGGCTCCAGTCCAAGATGCGATGATGTAGGTTACAATTCTGATTGGAGTAGGACCCATTCCCAGTGCATAGGCCATGTGTGAATTTATATAGAAGGTTTTTCTGCTTTAAAACCGAATACCACTAAGCTTTTAAAATGGCATTCTGCTTTGTGGCTGGTAAAAAGGCTTTTACTTAAGAGTAGGATATAATCGCAACACTTGGGTGTTTCCTTGAACTTTGTTCCTGATGGAGTATGGCCACTTTCGGTTTGAAGTGGTTTCTCTCTAAATACTTAGATGGGTTTTGAGGAATCTTTGGCCTCTCCCTTACCGGCTCGTACATTTTGTTCACCAGGTGAGTACCATTATATTTTTGTAAAATATGCTGGTTGTTTTTACTCTCAGTTCCTTAAGATTATTCTATGTTTGATTTCGTTTCAGTACTTTATTATTTATTTATCTGTGGTTCCAGGCACCCTGCGGGGGTCTTATGTCTGCTAGGCAAGCATTCTTCTACTGTCCTATATTCTCAGATGATAGTTCATGTGACTTTAAGCATTCAGAGCCAAGTTAGGCAGATATGAAGATGCTTAATAGTTTATTTTCTCTTTTTTATGTGAGATTTGCTTCCTGTCGGGTGTGGGATGTTGGCCTAATGATTCATTTTTGTTGTCTGCTCTTCTGAGAGTAGGCATTATTAAAATGGTTAGCTTGTGTTTTCAAATAATTACAGATAGTATAGCATTTAGAAACTGTAAGCTTAACAGTGAAATTATCATTGTGTTCCTACTAGAATTTTGGTAGTAAGTTACACACGTGTGTGTGTGTGTGTGTGTGTGTGTGTGTGTACATGGTTGTACATGTTCATGTATGCATGGATGTGTATATATGTGAACACATGTATATGGAGGTCGGAGGTCAATTTTGGGTGTCTTCCTCAGTTTCTCTCCACTCTATTACCCCCTTTCCTACATAAAGTCAATTTAAAATTAAGTGATCTGTTTAGGTGGCTCAATTTTTTTTTTTTACTTAGAAATTTCTGAAATCTTTGGGGCCAACTTATTTCAAATGATACAAACATTTCAGTTCCTACTCATCCTAGTCACACTGCGGTTGCTGAGACATCCTGGAACAACCTCCCACATCCACAAATAGTTTGTTGTTGTTGATTGTTAGTGTCTCTCCCTTCCTTGCCAGTCAACGCTGCCTTTCTCTGGTCACACTTTCCCTTGCACTTTTCTGAAGTCCCCTTATTCTCCGAGGAACCTAAGTGGCTGAGTTGGCCTGCTTGCCTCTCATTTTTTTTTTCCTGATCTTCTCAATTATCCTGGCTTTGCTGCCTGTGCGTAGGAAGTCCTGCCTTCTCCAAGCGGCAGATTGTCTTCTGGTCTGTGGAGGGAGGGATGTGGGTGTGGCTGCAGGGAGGCCCACACCACAGCGGCGGTGTTGCCAGTCAACCTAAGTGGACAAGCGTGTGCTAGCATGCAAGCGAGACATTCCCCTGCCCACAACCCCAGCAAAGCAAAAGTAAAGAGTCCACACGGAGTCACCAGGAACTCAGCCACACAAAGTACTTTTCTTTTTCAAGAGCAGTAAAGGGTGATGCCAAAGCTAATCCTAGTAACCAATATGTGTGGCTGCGATGCAGAGCTCTGAAAATAGAATATATCGTGGTCTCGCAGCAGCTTAGCATAATGGCAAGCATTGGTTTGTGAATCAAGGATCGGGGTTTTGAAATTAGATAGGAGGGCAGGCTTGGAGGTGGGGGATAGGTTTTCAGTTTTTTTTGGAGGCAGCTCTTCAGACAGGTGCAGGGAACGAGTAATATGCCACTCCCCAATGGTACGGTTCAGCCAATAAGCACCAGGCTTCTCCTGGGCCCTATAGCATGGTCTCTGTGCCTGTCACGAGCTGGCTCAGCAACCAAACCCAGATTCCAGGTGTGGTATTCCACAGCCATTCTGTAATTTGTAATCATAGAAACAGAACGTTCCTCCTCTTATTTCTTCCCTGCCAACAGTTTCTGGGTGGGTGAATGTCAGTAGCTGGAGTTATTTTTAAAGAGGTGAAGCTTGCCGTGCGAAGCTGGGAAGAGGGCGTTTGTTTGCAGAGCAGAGCTGACATCAAAGTGTAGATTACTGCTCACTGGCTAGGCGCTTGTCCTATAACAGGTAATGTTTAACGTGCCAGTCACAAAGATCACAGAAACAGTGTATGCTCGGCCAGAGATACAGCACTTTTTATGCTCTGGAAGACTGAAAGGCTATACGTGTCCGCGGACTTTTTTTTTCCCCTCTCAAATACACTTATGCGCTGTTCTTGCCACCGCCTCTTTGGCTGACTATAATTGGACTTTGAAGCTGGGAATTTGTATCATAAAAATTGGTAACCTTTGTCTGAGAGCAAGCTCAGCTAAACAATCACTTTCCAATTCTTTTCACAGGATAATATAAACGTTTTTTTGAAAGCTTGTGAACAGATTGGATTGAAAGAAGCCCAGCTTTTTCATCCCGGGGATCTACAGGATTTATCAAATCGAGTCACTGTCAAGTAAGTTTCACTAGTGTGTTTTACATGTATAATATGCCATAGATAAATGTAATAAATAGGTATATATTTTTTAAACTGAAGGCTTGCAGCTTAATTGAAAATAATTGCCGAGAGATTTTTGCGATTACAGAACGATCTTTCCTCTCTCTGTCTCATTCCAAAATAGACTCTTTAAAAAATGGCTTGGGGACTGAGAGTGTGAAGCCAGCTGTAACTGATACTGTGTCATGATCTTGTTGTAAATCTCTGTACTGACCAGAGTGGCGGTTTGTATTGTAATATTTTCCAGCATGATAGTGTTTGGTTGCTAATGGTGAGGATATTTATTATAATTATGAAGTGAATTTAGAGGCTATTACTATAATTTAAGGTAAAAAATAATCAGTTTGAAGTAGTTTTTAGGTAGTTGGAAACAGGACATGATTCTTAACAGAAAAATGACAGGAAACAACCGGTAAAAGCCACTTGTTAATGTTTAGAAGGACTACCTGCCTTAGGACCAAAGACCTCACTGATTGTGGTTGCTTTTAAAATAGTGAACCTTTCCCCACTGTTTCAATACTTTGGACGAGGAGGTAAATGTGGATGTGCACACACATCTGCGGCTACTCTGTTGGAGTTTATGTGGGCAGTAGTGCTCGTGTGTGAGTGAATGGTTTCGGGAACATGGTTTTAAGCTGTGACAAGATATATTTTTTTTCCTACACATCTAATTTGCATCCAGGAAATCACTAATACAATTGTGTCACCAGGAGAATGTGACATGGAAGTTATATAATTTTGAAATAATGCTTACCTCCTTATCCGGCTCTTGGACTTAATTAACATTTTTCCAAGTGAGGAAATGCTTTTGTTCTATTTGTAGAAATAGTGAAAATGGAAAACTGCGTCTATGCTTTAGATAAAGTTTGTGCACTTATGCTCAGTATTGAAGCTTTAGTCATTAGTAAAATCAACTATCGAATCTTGAACAGGGCCATTGTTTCATGAAGAAAAACAATGCCACAGGTATTTCCAATGGTCCGCATTGTCTCCTAGCAGTCTAACCTAAAATCCCAAGCAGCAGGGGATGCTTTAAAATCAGACAGTAAATATTTCAGAGGAGCAACCTGTCCCACACCGACTCACCTCTCTGTAGCGTGTTTTCCCAACTCCACAGCGGTGATAGGTACCTGGAAGGGGAGTCTGTCCATTTCTGTTGAATTGAAACAAAGCTCAAATCCTAAGTTTGGCTGCTGAAAATGCTTACTTCTGCCATACACAAGGTCCTTTTAACTTCCATTCAAAAGTGCATTTGCTTAATTTCCTTTCCTAAGACCTATCTGGGCAAAGAAACTGAAGCCTTCAAACTGTTCTTTCCCTTAAGCTGGTGATACGTATGAAGGCTAAGTGAGTTCCCCTCCACAATCATGTGGCTTTGAACCTCGGCAGCCTGTGCGTGAGAACTAGGCGAAACAAGTTTGTGGGCCCCTAATTTCGAGGGTGTTGCATGTAGGGCTTGCCCGGAGCCGCTTTCAGGAGTGGTTGGGTCTAAAAGGTTGACAAGAAATCAGTTTCTGGGCTCAGCCTTCAGTGAAATTTACTTACTGACAAAGTGAAACTGGGCTTGTGCGAGGCTGGCAGAAAACCTGTTGGAGTGGAAACCACAAGCCTGTCATAGCAAGGTGTGCCTCGGTCAGGGTGAGAGCCCGAGCCACAGCTCTGAATCTGCTGGAGAACTTTCCGTGCTTGTGTCTTGCCGGGCCATAAAGGGTGAGCTCTGGGTCTACTGTAGTGGGAGGCTCAGGCCCTCCCGGAAAAGACTGAAGATCACTGGCAAATGACCTCCCCTGTGCTTTGAGAAGGAACTTTTCTTTAAAGGAAGCAGGTTTAAAGAAAGGCAAATCAAGAGAAGTGTGGTTGTTAGTTTTGGTTGTTATGTAACGTGCAAATTCCTGTAGGTCAACTCTTGTCCTATCATTATTGTAGATTAAAGGACTTGGCATCGATTAGATCAGTGGTTCTCTTGTGGAGGCAGTTTTTCCCCCCTGGGGACATTTGGCAATGTATGGAGACATTTTTGATTGTCATAGTTGGTGTGGGGTGCTACAGGCATCTATTGAGTAGGCCACGGTGATACTGAGTGCCCTGTAGCCCATAGGACAGACTCAATGAGGGAGGGTTTTCCTATTCCAGCAGGAATACTGCTGGGGTTCAGAAATTCTGATGTAGACATAGAAGTCCCTCTTTGCCAGCAAAATAGCCACAGGGAAATGAAAGACTCTGACCGGACAGACTTGTGACACTACTATGATGTCACTTCATGTTTACTGTCATCGAATAACTGCGTTTCTGTGATAGTATGTTTATTTCAATGGCAAGGCTCATTGTGATTTGTCTGAGAGTGTGAATGTGCGTAGTACTCTTGAGATTGTTGTGCTCATCTGTAGACATTCAATTTAGCAAAACTGTAGTAAGCCATTTGATTATTTTAAGTGTGCTGACATTATTGAACCATTCAGGCCACATCTAATTGCTTACAGACTTATGCTGGCCTTGGCTTCTCATGCAAGGTAGCCACGGTATACCAAGAGAAAAGAGGAGTAGTTAATATACTCTGTGTTGTGGAGCAGGAGGCGTTTTTGTTGGTGGGTGGAGGAGACACGTACACTGGGCACATTGAGTGTGGGAGAATTGAGTGTTTGAAAGTGAGCAGAGAGAACAGAGCAGTTAAAGAGCTGGTGGCAGTGACTGACTGTAGGAATCCACATCCTGGATTGTGTCCATTGTTTTTAGTAATTTGTGACTTCAAATTTAATTCGCCACAAATGTCCACCATTGAAACAGAACTAGAGTACTCTTTCTGCCTCCGTAATTGTACACCGTCACATATGATCTAGTTTCCTCAGGTATTTTGCTTTGCAGGGAGAACTAGTTTGAAGTTTTTCAAGTACATTTGAATGATTCTATTCATTTTGGTATTGGGTCTTATTCATAAATCAGTCGGATCCATTTATAGTTTTTCTTCGAAAGGGTTAATAAATAAACTTAGGATTTAGTCTCCATGAATGACAGGTGGAGAACTAACCCAATATGTGACCATGAAACTTAGCTCATATCATTTTAACATTTTAACCAGTTTACTGAGTATCCACACTGAACTGAACATACATAATCCATGGGGAATGAGTGACGAGGCACCCCCTACCCAGTGACCACAGAGGCATGCTACAGCACACTGGGGACTCCTCACAGCAAGGGCCAAGGTCTTTGTGATGGTATCTGGTCAGAAAGAGAGGTACAGAGTGACTGATTCTATCAGAAATTAACTCATCAGAGAAGAGTCCTAGATTTTTCTTACAGGACTTGGAGTTGGTGGCAAGGTCGGGCTGAACATTTAAAAGTTTTAACAGTATATGTTTAACAATTTCTGACTTATAAGCTAAAGCATATTTAAAACATTGCTTAAAACAACTTTTTCTTTGTGTGAGTACATGTATGTATGTGTGGAGTGTGTGTGTGTGTGTGTGTGTGTGTATGTAGTGTATGCCTGCGTGTGCACAGGTACACTAACTCATGTGTGCACATGTGGAGGCCAGAGGTTGATATTGGTGTCTTCTATCAGTTTTCACTTGCATTTTTGAGACAGGGTCTTCTACTGCCCTGAAACTTGCCAAGTAGGCTAGTCTGGGTGGCCAGTAAGGCCCCAGCCTCTGCCCATCTCCACACCGAGTGCTTCAGTTACAGGCATGTGGCCCTGCGCCGGGCTTCTGAGGTCATGCTCAGGATCCTAACTCAGGCCCTGCGCCGGCCTTCTGAGGGCATGCTCGGGATCCTAACTCAGGCCCTCACGATTTGCCCAGAAAGTACTTTGCCTACTGAGCCATCTCCCCAGCCCATTCCAAACAATTTCTCTCAAACATTTGAAGTTGCAGATTTGAACAGACTGTAAACATGTTTGTTCCCTCCACCCCCTCCACATTCCAATCTAGATTTTAACACTTCTTCAGATGCATTCTGTTCATAACATAATTACAGAATGACAGTGCTTTTGAACACAATATTTCTGTCACGAAAAGAAATTATTTTCTACTATGGGCTTAGTGCCGCATTTCTTAGGTTAGTAACACTTTAAGTATAAAATATAACTTTAAATAATGCTGTTCTCTGCGTTTTTCTTATGTATTACTTTAAGAGTGCAGGAATCAAGATTTTTTTTTTCCATTTTTAAACACTTGCTAGCTGCCAAAGGAAGAATGGTTAGGAGTAAAATTAGTGTTAATATTGTTCCATTGTGAAAATAATGGAAAGCTCAAAATGGCATTTCAGGTGTGCGGGTCTCTGGCTTCAGAAGCCAGCTTGATTTTTGTCACAGCACTGTGAAGTCATTCAGGTTCCCAGCTGGGACTGTGTTTGGAAGTCTGTCAAATGGAGCCTGAGTGTGTGTGTGTGTGTATATGTGTTTATCTGTAGTTTTTTCATGTAGGTAAAAATAATTTATTTTGAGTACTTTCTATATTAAGATTATTATTATGCTTGTTTTTTTTAAGTGTTTGTGTCTCTGAGTATATGCCAAGTGTGTGGGTGCTCTCAGAAGCCAGATGAGGGTGTTGGATATCCTAGAGCTGGAGTTACAGGCAACTGGTTGTGAGCCTTCTCACATGAGTGCTGGGAACCAAGCTTGAGTCCTCTGGGGGAGCAATGAGTGCTCTTAATCATAGAACCATTTATCCAGCCCCTATTTTTTTTTTAATTTAAGCCTGGTTTCAGATCTTTCATTGCAAGTTTGTCTTTTAAATGAGCATCTCACCATCTTCATCTTTATTTATTTATTTAAAGTAAGCTTAGCACTACCCAAACTTGGATCTGTCTCTTGAGCGTGGTGACTTCCACCTGTCACTGTGTGTTACTATTTTAAATGTCCCCTTCCTATTGATTCTCAGAAGAGAGGGCAGAAAGGAAGTCCATTGTGCTGTGTCCATCTGCATCTCCTTGCACCATTCTTTGGGGACAGGAACTTC